TACTGCTAGTTAAACAGAGGCGTGCGGAGTGAGGAAACTTGCCCAATGTTTCGCCCTGCCCGGGAATTGAACCCAGGTCCTCTGACTTGCGAGGTGAGGACTTTAACCACGAAGCTACAGGACTCCACATGTATTGTTACAACTGGGCGCAAGGATCCAGGCAATGCAAAGCACTCGTGGTTTACTGCATGCAATTTTCATAAACAGCGACTGTCCACATTAATTGACATTTTGTCCCCATGTTTCTGCCACCACACAGTAACTGAAGTAACCGTTTACAGGCATTCTGAACCTCAAACACCTGGAGTATTTCAAACAGACTAATCAAAGTCCATTGGCTTTCAATAGTCAAGTTACTTTCAAGCCCATCTTATACATTGTTCCTATGGATATTTGCATACAATGCCAACCAGAGAAAAACAGTACAACCGACAACAGTTAAAGTTGGGTGAGGTTCATATCTTTGACCCATTTCAGAGAGATTCATCAACTCGTAATTACTTTCCGTGCTACTGACGCTTCGTTTCAAGTGCCACTCACCAGGACTCTGGTTTTGAAGTACTCCTTAAAATTTGGACTCAATCCTCCGGCAGGATTCTCATTAAGCTGGTTGTACTTTGAGCGAACTGTAATTCTGTTTATTTGGATTTGCTTGTATTTAAATTCATGCAAGACTTTTATCAGGATTATCTGATGTGTGTTACAGTGGAGTCTTAAGCCTTGAGGGTAAGAATCTGACCGGTCATGGAAATTAAAAGATAAAACAGTGATCAAGTTAATTTTTTCATCTCCTTTGTTTTAGATGATGTCAAGTTACAGGAAATGTAGCCTTCCACAGTCCAACAAATTTAAATGGCAACCCAGTTTCCATTTTGGCCTCTGGTTGCTGCTCTTTAATCAAGTCTCATGCAACACTCCCCATTATTTATTTGATCAGCCTTGTGTCTGACATATGAGAGAATCCATTACCAGGGTTGAGAATATCCAAACCAGACTGAGGTTTCTACACATGCAAACTCCCTTGTTTGGAATGGAATACGCTCTCTCTCGCTCTCTCTCTGGAGCAACACTAATTAACTAATGCTGGAGAGTATTAGGCGCAAGTTGGCAAGAGCCAAGATTTAGGTACCCCAGAATGTGGATTGGGTTACTGATGGAGTTGAAACAGCTAAAATTGCACAGCTTGCCATCGAAAGGACTGCCTGGCAAGCTTCCCACTGCCTGTTCAGCTTGGACCACCCTTTCTGTGGCTTGCAGGGTTAACAGGAACTCAGTGGGAAGAATTCCTGTCACTAATGCCCCTTAAGAGTCCTGCTGATGAGCCAGGCTGACGGGTCTGTCACAAGCAATTCCCGGAGTACTGTGGACTTTCCTGGTCCAGGAACTACGGAGGTTGACTCCGTACAATTAGTAATAAAGTTAAGTTTTACTTGTTCGTGACTAAATATCTTTTGAGGAGTTTACTGTCACCTCCTTTGTACATTTGTTCAGATACAATCGCTGACACCTGAAAGTAAAAACAATAGCAACAGCCCCCAGATGTAATACCCATCACTTGTAACTTACTCCAGGCTACCAAAAGTTTCCAAAGAGCACTGCTGACTAAATCAACTCCTAAAACGGAGAAACCATGGAGCTGTCCTCTGTGACCATGTCCCTTATTAAAGGGTAGGAATTCCTCCTAGGTCTAGATTTACTCTATTTATATTCTATTACTGCCAGAATTTGGCAGATTCTTAAATGCAGCCTTCATTTGGGAGCCAGGTTTCTGTAAGTTTCTTTCAAGAATTACGGAGAAATGTACTCCGAAGTAAAGCCTGAATTCAACAATTTGTCAAATTCCGGATGCCCTAAAAATGCTACAGACATAAGAGTGAATCTAGACCTGAGTGGGATTCTTCTGCAGAAAATCACTGTTATATTATTATAGTTATATTGATTCCAGAAACAACATTAGAAACATAACTTGATGATGATTCAATAAACTCCTACACAAATAGCTTTTTTTAAAAAAAAACTTTCATTCTGACTATAAGCACGACATCACAGGGTGGGCTTACATCTATAGCGTGTTTATACAGTGTTAATACGAAAGATGTTTTGCCCACAAATTAGACAGTCAATTCACTTTACAGTATATTCTGTGCATATTCATACACACTTTACAGTTTATGCTTTGAGACATCTCGAAGATAAGGCGCTATATCAAATGCAAGGATTATTATTATTATTATTATAAGCTTATGGCGCATTGTGGAAATGCTGTGCTGTTTCCTGGGCAGGACTGCACAGGAACAGATGATATAGAGAGCAACATTACAAGCAACTCTACCCCCCGAGGCACCCCAGAACCTCGATAATGAAATGGGAGTGACTGGAGCCAGAGCCACACCTGCTGGGGGCTCTCCCCCCACACCCCATAACACACACACAGACTTACATCTCACCCCCATTTCCCCCCCCCCCCCACACACACATCCCCACTCACACAGACACCTATCAGCCCCCCCACACACACTTACACCTCAGCCGCAAAACACACACAACCCCCCACACATACACACCCTCTCCCCCCGCCCACACACTTACACCACTACCCCACCCCACACACATAAGAACACCCGCCACACACGCATACACCCCCTTCTCCGCCCCCCACCCAAACAGACACAAACACACACCCCCATACACGCATACACCCACACACTCACACCTCCCTCTCCCCCACACACACACCTCCCTACCCCCCACATACATACCGCCCCCATACATATACACACATACCCCCCCCCCGCAAACATATACATAGAGCATCCCATCCATCCCCCCCCCCTACATACACACCTCCCCACACACACATACCCCCGCGCACCCCCCAAAATACACACAGAGTTCCCCCTCACACACATACACCTCCCCATACACAAATAACCCCCCCACCCTCCCCAAACACAGACACATAGACCCCCCCCCATACACAAATACACCCCCGCGCCCCCAAATACACACACATAGAGCCCCCCCACACACATACCCCCCCCCAACAAACACACATAGAGAGCCCCCCCCCCACACACACACAGAGCAAACCCCAGGACCAGTTTCACTAAAGATAGCTGGGGCTGAACAGTCTCACGGAGCTTGTGTAGCGCGGAATCTATTTTCTACTCTCAGGCACATGACAGCTGTGAGAAATGATTTCCTCGGCTTCTGTTCCATTAACCGGCCTCGGCTTTTTCCCTAGAAACAGTCCCAATAACCCTTCCCAGCCGCTGTCTTCACCGCTATCTTCACTCTTCACATCCCACCATTCAGACCGCCTGAGCAGATCAGCAGATGATAGCTGAGAAATTATTAAGCAGCTGCTATTTTGGAAACCTGATTATTATTGGTATAAAATCGGCTATTTTATAGGTCGCCATCTATGGAATTAATATAACCTATGGTATAATCTTATATATTATATTAATATAACCTAAAGTATAATATTATACACTGCAATATTATATATTATATTAATATAACCTATGATATATTATATATATTAATATAACCTATAATATAATATTATACACTACAATATTATATATTATATTAATATAACCTATAATATTCTATTATTTAATATTCTATTATATTGATATAACCTTTGCTGAATTAAGACACGTAATCGGTGATAGATCCATAGCCAATTAAGCAGAAGAATTGAAAATTAAAACTCTTTTTGCATTTGCCTTTGTGTTCCCGGTATTATCGTTATGAATCACGATTAGTATTAATATTAATAATATTATTATTATCATTATTATTGCTTTATCAGCGACGTTTTCCACTCAGTCTGACCCTCACTCACAGGGACTGAAACACAGGGACACAATAGAGTGGAACTGAAAGAGAAGCAAAAAACATTGACAGTCGCTGAGGGGTAATTGAACAGAAACAGCTGCTCTGTGTGTGTGGAAATAGCCACTGAACCTCTGGGGTCAGTGGGGGTCCACTTTATCCCACTTACTGACCCCCCCCCCACCCCTCCCTCCCCACCCACCCCACCCCTCCCTCCCCACCCCGCCCACCCCAGCCCAGCCAGGGGGGGGAGGGGGGGATGGGGGGTTTGGGGGGCAATAGGGGTCTTGGAGAGAGACGCCGACAAAGCCCCACATAAGATGGGGGCTGCTCTCCCCGGGAATTATTAGACGAAGGGCAATACCTGTTCGAGCACAAAGCAGGTGTGGGGGGGGTGTGGGGGGGGGGGTGTGTGTGTGGGGTAGTGTGTGTGGGGGTGGGGGGGGTGTGGGGTGTGTGTGGGGGGTGGGGTAGTGTGTGTGTGTGTGTGTGTGGGGGGGGTAGTGCGTGTGTGTGTGGGGGGGTAGTGTGTGTGTGTGTGTGGGGGGGGTGTGTGTGTGGTGTGTGTGTGTGTGGGGTGGGGGGTAGTGTGTGTGTGGGGTGTGTGTGTATGGGGGGGGGGTAGTGTGTGTGTGTGGGGTACAGTGTGTGTGGGGTACAGTGTGTGTGTGGGGGGGGGGTACAGTGTGTGTGTGTGGGGTGTGTGTGTGGGGTGTGTGTGTGTGGGGTGTGTGTGTGTGGGGTGTGTGTGTGTGGGGGGGGGTAGTGTGTGTGTGTGTGGGGTGGGGGGAAGTGTGTGTGTGGGGTGTGTGTGTGTGGGGGGGGGTAGTGTGTGTGTGTGGGGTGTGTGTGTGGGGGGGGGTAGTGTGTGTGTGTGTGTGTGGGGTGTGTGTGTGTGGGGTGTGTGTGTGTGTGTGGGGGGGGTCCCTGCCCAGAGCCCCCCGACCTCAGTGACACATCACCCACCCGGGCTGGAGACCCCCGGCCCGAGCCCGAGCCCGGGAGGGGAGGTGGGGAGGGGGGAGGTGGGGAGGGAGGGGGGAGGTGGGAGGGGAGGTGGGAGGGGGGAGGGGAGGTGGGGAGGGGGGAGAGACAAAGAGATGGCGAGGCGGACCCCCCCCCACACACCCCCCCCCCCCCAGTGATGGCTTCCTTACCTGAGTGTGTTTTCTGAGCGCTGTTTCCCATCACTTCGTCTCATTCACAGCGCAGTCCGGTGGGGCTGGTGCTCGCGGCGCTGACTCGTCCCTGTGCCCCTGCGGTGGGGAAGGTCCATCTATCCCCCCCCACCCCCCACCCCATACACCCACACACACCCCCACACACACCCCCACACACACCCCCACACACACACCCCCACACACACCCCCACACACACTCCCACACACACACCCCCACACACCCACACACCCCCCACACACCCACACACACCCCCACACCCCCACACACACTCCCACACACACACCCCCACACACCCACACACACCCCCACACACACCCACACACACACACCCACACACACCCACACACACACACCCCCACACACCCCCACACACCCCCACACACACCCACACACACACCCACACACACCCCCACACACACCCACACACACACACCCACACACACCCACACACACACACCCCCACACACCCACACACACACCCCCACACACCCACACACACCCCCCGGAGCACCGAGAGGACAGCCCCTGACAACCGGTTTACCACAGAGAGAGAGAGAGAGAGGGAGAGAGAGAGCTCCAGACACGGAGTGTGAGTGACTGTGTGTGAGAGGCGCTCACAATGGGAGAGCTCCAGACTTCATCCCTCAGTCACACTGATGGTGGTCACTACACCACACACTGCACTACACTACACCACACACACACGGACGGAGCGCTTTCCCAATTGGTCTCCACCGTCCAGACCTCTCAACCGCTTCCGACTGTGAGCGGCAGAGCCCCAGTACCCGCACTCCCCCCTCACACCGCCACCGCCCGTCACTGAGCCGCTCTCAGCGCACATCACATCGCGGGCGGACAATGGCTTCTCAGCCATCGATCTGCTGTCACACACTCACACTCACACACTGACACACACACTGACACACACACACACTGACACACACACACACACTGACACACACACACACACACTGACACTCACACACACACACTGACACACACACACACTGACACTCACACACACACACTGACACACACACTGACACACACACACACTGACACACACACTGACACACACACACACTGACACACACACACTGACACACACACACACTGACACACACACACACTGACACTCACACACTGACACACACCATCACACACTGACACACACACACACTGACACACACACACACTGACACACACACACACTGACACTCACACACTGACACACACACACACACTGACACACACACACACACTGACACACACACACACACTGACACACACACACACTGACACACACACACTGACACACACACACACACTGACACACACACACTGACACACACACACACTGACACTCACACACTGACACACACACACACTGACACACACACACACTGACACTCACACACTGACACACACACACACTGACACTCACACACTGACACACACACACACACTGACACACACACACTCACACACACACTGACACACACACTGACACACACACACACACTGACACACACACACTGACACACACACACACACTGACACTCACACACACTGACACACACACACACACTGACACACACACACTGACACTCACACACACACACTCACACACACACTGACACACACACTGACACACACACACACACACTGACACACACACACACTGACACACACACTGACACACACACACTGACACACACACTGACACACACACACTGACACTCACACACTGACACACACACACACACTGACACTCACACACTGACACACACACTGACACACACACACACACTGACACACACACACACTGACACTCACACTGACACTCACACACACTGACACTGGCACACACACACACTGACACTCACACACACACACACTGACACACACACACTGACACTCACACACACACACACTGACACACACACACTGACACTCACACACACTGACACACACACACACTGACACACACACACACTGACACTCACACACTGACACACACACACACACACTCACACACACTGACATACACACACACACACTGACACACACACACTGACACTCACACACACACACTGACACACACACACTGACACTCACACACACACACACTGACACACACACACTGACACACACACACACACACTGACACTCACACACTGACACACACACACACTGACACACACACACTGACACTCACACACTGACACTCACACACACTGACACACACACACTGACACTCACACACTGACACACACACACACTGACACACACACACACTGACACTCACACACTGACACACACACACACTCTGACACACACACACACTGACACTCACACACACACACTGACACACACACACACTGACACTCACACACACACACACACACACTGACACACACACACACTGACACTCACACACACACACACACACTGACACTCACACACTGACACACACACTGACACACACACACTGACACTCACACACACTGACACACACACTGACACTCACACTGACACACACACTGACACTCACACACACTGACACACACACACTGACACTCACACACACACTGACACACACACTGACACTCACACACACTGACACACACACACTGACACACACGCACTAACACTCACACACACTGACACACACACACACTGAGACACACACACACTGACACACACACACACTGACACACACACACACTGACACACTCACACACTGACACACACACACACTGACACTTACACACTGACACACACACACACACACTCACACACACTGACATACTGACACACACACACTGACACACACACACTGACACTCACACACACTGACACACACACTGACACACACACATACACACTGACACACACACACTGACACACTCACACACACTGACACACTCACACACTGACACTCACACACTGACACACACACACACACACTGACACACACACACACACACTGACAAACTCACACACACTGACACACACACCAACACACACACTGGCACACTGACACACACACTGGCACACACCAACACACACACAGACACACACATAAACACACACACCAATACACACACACTGACAACACACAAACTGATACACTCCCAACACACACCCCGACACACACACACCAACACACACACACTGACACACATACTAACACACACACTGACACACATGCACTGACACAATGACACACCGACACACACCAACACACACACATTGACACGCATACTAACACACATACACTGACACACATGCACTGACACAATGACACACCGACACACACCAACACACATACATTGACACGCATACTAACACACATACACTGACACACATACCAACACACACACACTGACACAATGACACACCGACACACACACCAACACACACACACTGACACACATACTAACACACACACTGACACACATGCACTGACACACTCACACACACTGACACACTCACACACTGACACTCACACACTGACACTCACACACACACACACACTGACACACACACACACACACTGACAAACTCACACACACTGACACACACACCAACACACACACTGGCACACTGACACACACACTGGCACACACCAACACACACACAGACACACACATAAACACACACACCAATACACACACACTGACAACACACAAACTGATACACTCCCAACACACACCCCGACACACACACACCAACACACACACACTGACACACATACTAACACACACACTGACACACATGCACTGACACAATGACACACCGACACACACCAACACACACACATTGACACGCATACTAACACACATACACTGACACACATGCACTGACACAATGACACACCGACACACACCAACACACATACATTGACACGCATACTAACACACATACACTGACACACATACCAACACACACACACTGACACAATGACACACCGACACACACACACCAACACACACACACTGACACACATACTAACACACACACTGACACACATGCACTGACACAATGACACACCGACACACACCAACACACACACACTGACACACACACAATTGACTGTACATTTTGTGGGCGAAACGTGGTTTGAATAGTACTCATACTTATCCTATTCCATTTTATTTGTTCTCCCTTCTATATGCTCACTTTGTCCGTAATTATGTTATTTAAAAAAAAATGGTTATAACATCTTTCTATCTAAACTTCAAACCTTCCCCCACCCCTCCCTCCCTAACGTCAACGTGTACTAACATTAACTGATTCTCCCCCAAAACATTAAGTGTGATGGTGAGCTGTCAGCGAGGTATGAGACTAACTCCTAGGAACAATTCTCAAGCACAAGTCAGAATAATATTGGTCAGAACATCAGGAAGAGCAGGGAAGGTTTAGCCGATACTCGCCAACACCTATTATTCTCTATAACGTTTTCAGCTCCAGTTATTGTTGACCTTTTTAAACGGCTGGATCGCAGGTGGCAAAGTGATGAAACGGAAAGTGACACATGGTTGGGCAAATGTCCAAGAGGTATAGAATTGCACCTCACACACAGTGAGGATTTCTCCCTACATTCACATTGTTCGATTGAGGATTCTGAGGAGAGATGCGAAGGGTGATGCAAAAGAATTCAAAAAGAATAAGTAGAGAAGGACCATATTTCTCATGGGAGAGAAAGTGTACTTTAATGCCCTCCTCCACTAATGAGCATATTCCCATTGTCCAGTTGTCTCAATCAATTTGAAAGCTGAACTGACATATACATCCCATTCATTCATTAAAGTTAGTGGGTATAAGGAAGGGTTCACCAATTTAGGCAGAATGGACAGTGTGTTTTGGGACCTTAACCTTCTACATTATATAGCAAACCCCCAGATCCTCATATTTACTTCCTCAGAAGAAGCTAAGACATATTAAATCATAGTCTATGCGTATTATCAGTTGAACTAAAAATAGTAAAGGCTGAAAATCCATTGGAGACCTCGAATGGTTAATCTTGGTTCATGAAAGAATAAAGAGTAGTTTGGGATTAAAATAAAACTTTTATGCAAAGTCCATGGCACAAATGTTCTCATTTATTGAT